ATAATGCAAAATAGGAAGCAAAGGTCCAAAGGGGTAGGGCTAGTGGGAGGAGCAGGGGAAAGGAAAGATGATGAGAAATGGAAATAAAGTCTTTGTAAATAGGGAAGGGTGGAGGGGCTGAAGGGAGGGCTAGGAATGGGGAAAAAATAAGAACTAAAGTGCATCATGTAAAGGTACAAGTTCCCAATGAGAAATGTAATTATGTTGTATACCTAAAATGTACCAATAAAAGAATTTAACAAAAAAATATTTAAAATTTGTTTTGTCTCTTTCTATTCTTTTACCTTTTGACACAAGGAACAGTACCTTTTAAGTTATTGTTTGAGTGTGCCTGGACATATCATCTACCTGTTCTTTCATTTAAAAAAGAAAAATCCCAGGAGAAGCCTCATATCCGTCATGTCTGTCCACGATACTTGTCAAGATTATTTCCTGTAAAGTTATTTTTAGTTGATGTAATGCCAAGTAGAACCACCATTTTTAAGAAAAGCAAGAGTGGACAAAATCCATACTTTTATTTGGTGGCTCAAGAAGACTGTCACGCACACATAGCTCTCAGAATACTACAGATGAGGAGCTTGTTTGGAACTTGTTAAATTTAAAAACACTCTACTTTTATTGTAGAGTTGAATGAAATCTAGAGATGAGAGTGACAGATTGATAAAAGTGAAAATAGGAAAAGAGCAGAAAGTAAAGAATAAAAGGAAAAGGTACAAGAGAAGCTAAAGGGAAAGAGAGAAACATAAGAACTGTCATCCATTGCTTCATTCAGCAAATATTTTGTGCCAGTACACCAGGTCCTTGGTATAAGCAGAGAATCAAACAAGTCCTTGTGCTCCTGTAATGAATAAGACTGTCGTCCCATCCTTGGTACTAGTAGAAAAAAAGATGAAACGAAAAATTAGTCTGGAGTGAAAAACTAGACAAAGCAATATGGGCAGTGGCCTACAAAGGTTGGATACCTAAGGACAAGAAAGATGGAAAATTAACTTTCAACTGTTCCTTTTCATGGCCCAGAACTGCACCCATCTCTCCTCCTCCACATCCACATCCACATCCACATCCACATCTACACCCAGCTTAGTTTCTGGCATCTTCCTTCACCCTGTTCTGGATAAGGACCCTCTGGGGATACTGAGGACCATACCCAAAAAAACATTTATTAGTGTCTTCTGTGTACCAGGCATTGTGCTATGTGTGGGACTATAATAATAAATTATAAGTGTATAAATGATACAGAAATACTATCTCTATTATTTGAGTATCTTATAATCTATTTGAGTATAGTGGCAAGTAATGAGTAAATAATGATCTGGTTTGCTAAAAGAGTAAGTACAAGCCATCTAAGTCCAGGGATAAGAGACCACCAAACTGACATTTCCTCTTGTAGTTCTGCCTCTTTTAAAAATTTCATCTGAATGAAACTATTTCAGAAAAAAACTTTCAATATGCTTTGTAGTTGAGGAAAAAAATCAATTTTGGTTTAATTCAAAATTAGCAAATTAAATATTGTGTGGTTTTTCATTGGTGGATTACTTTAGCTGAAACTCTGATTATGCTTTAAAATATGTATTAAAATCCATATCCCCCTTCCATATTCATACCCACTTAAAAATACAACTTAAGAAAACCCACAGAATCTTTTGTCCTGGATTTTTATCATCCATTATATACATAAGCCTATATAGGCAGTACAGTGTTACAGCTTAATGCAAAACAGATGCCCATAAAGCAATTTAACTGGCATTTGTTTAAAATATGTGTATGTACACCAACTTATTTCCTCATTTCAAACTGTAGTTTTATCAGACATTTAGAGGATAAATGCCAAATCATGATAAGTTGTACTGAATTTCATATAAGAGCTGCTTGGAGCAGTGAAAGGCTCTCAAAGGACTGAACACTTTTTCATACTTTGTGTTCTTTCATATAAACTTGATTTAGAGAAATCTCTCATCACTGCTTTTTCCTGTATAAAAACTTTCTAACAAGTCAGCATCCATTTGTAGTCACTGGATTATCTCAAGTCTACCGTGGGCCCTTCTACTTTCTTTTGATGGGCTTTTTTATTTTTTGCCCTAAATTTATATCTCCTGTCCTAAGTACTCCCCTGAACTCCATTTGTTCATTCTTAGTCTTGTCTTGGATGTCAGATAATCTATTTCAAATTTAACATTACTGAAACAGGACCATTGGACTTCCTGACAGCTCTCATCAACCAAACCTGTTCCTTTGCATTCCTCCATCTCTTAATAAATGGCAACTGTAATCTTCTACTTGTTCAAGCTAAAAAGTTCCAGCGTTATCTTGACTCATTTTATTCTCTATAAAGTCCTCCAGTAAGTCCTGTTGGCAGTGCTACCAACTTCTTCCGACTTCTCACCTTCTGACCACGGTCATCCGAGCCACCATCATCTTTCACTTGGGCTATAGTGATGACCTTCTGTGTCCTCTACTTCCATCCTTACCTTTTAATAGCCCATTCCCTATACAACAGCCAGGATGATCCCCTCAAAACATCATCTCTACTCACTCCTTGGTGCGGAATCAATCCAGTGAATTTCCAGTGATTTTGTCATTCAGAGTAAAATGTCACCCAGAATAACAAAGTAAGGCCCTGTGTGATCTAGCTGCTTCTCTGATCTCTCTTACTTCTCTTATCTCTCCTGCTTTGGCCACACTAGGCTTCTTGCTGTTACTCTGGGTACCCAAGAACACTTTTACCTCAGGGCTTTTGCACTTGCTTTTACTCTTGCCAAGAACCTTCAGTACCTAAGCTATGCACATGCTCATTTCCACAGTCCCTGAAGGTCACTGCTTAAATGTCACCTTATCCTAAAGAGCTTGATTGACATTCTTTTTCTCTGTCTCTTTACTATGTTTATGTTTTTAGCATTTATCCACAAGTGATATTTTCTATCATCAGATTTTTTTTTAAAGATAATCTGTCTTCCTGTAGACGATGTTAAGTTCTATTAAGCCAGGTATCTTCAGTTTTGTTTGTATTGTTTTATTTCCTTTACTGCTCTTTCCCTAACATCTGTCTGAGGCAGTGATGTGTGACCAGGATCTTGATTTTCTCATTCCAAGTCCAGTGCTCTTGCCATGGTGGTGTGTGGCCTCTCATACATTTGTCTTACTGCAGAAAGGTTTTTTAAGTTCCTTGAGAGCAGTGATTATCCTTTTTATTTCTCTGCCATATACCACAAAGGGTACAGGACTGTGCCACATACCCAGTGAGGGGCTCCATGTGTCTAATGAATGCCATAGCTTGACCAAATTACTACCTGTGTTTACCATGGTCTGTGATCAGCTTGGGTCATGAACTTACTAAGGAACTCATTAGATACAATAGTATTTGGAAATTGCTTTGGGTAAAAACCATTGATATGTGGGAGGGAAGTTTTCAACAAGTAGCTTATTTGTATTCTGAATGTTGAACATTTTATGTAACTGTAACTTTGGATGAGAGTGATTAGACTGTAGCTAATAGTTGCTGTGCTAGTTTAAACCTCAGAATGTTAGTATTTCTGTACCGAAACACCTTGTGTCCTGAAGGGGAGTGTGCCCCAGAGAATGCCTTTTGCAAATCACATAGCATCCATATTTAGCTTGGACCTAACCATACAAGTACAGAAAGGCCCTTCCATTTTATTTTCAAAGTTTTTATTCTTTTGCCTATGAAATTTCTTAAGTGGCTCTAGAAACACTGATTGTCTCCCCCTTGTTTTGACAGGTGATCTGCAACTCTTTCACCATCTGTAATGCAGAGATGCAGGAAGTTGGTGTTGGCCTGTACCCCAGGTATGGCAGACAGTATTTCATAGACTAGAAGACATGGCCTTAATTCCCACCCAGCTCCCAGCCTTTCAGAGGTAGTTAGAACGACTGTCCCAGCAGCTGGCTTAAGAGCCAGGCTGGAAACTTAGTGATGAATTACAAGAGGATGTAAAACTGTTAAGTTTTATAACTGCACATGATATGCTGTGCTATTATTAATGAAGAGGCAGGCCTCTTCAGAACTAAATTTTTGTTCTTAGGGGGTTTGGGGTAGGAAGTTGAGGACTGTGGGTACCAATTAACCGTCAGCCTGAGGTTTGGTTATCCCCCACACCTTCCCTGATCTTATTGCCCTACCTCCTGTGCTGAAACACATGAGAATTTCATCAGACTTGCTGTCCTGTAGCAGTGGGTTAATTTTGTAATTTGTATTACCATACTCTGAGCACCATCAGTCCAGGAGGCAAGAAAATTTTGAAGATTGGCTCTCTGTACTGCTTCTACCGCTGTCACTGTGATGACCTTTGTCCCTGCACTACTCGACTGCCCTTCCACAGGCACTAGAGTCATCCTACTTTTATTTTGGTTTATGTCATTTGGGTTCAAGTATAAATATATTCTGTTTTATAATTAACCACGAATCTGAGAATTTGGCCTCTTTTTTCCCACAAGTGCCATTAGCTGCAAGTCAGGTCTATTGGTATTGAGTCTCCAAAAACAATAACAAAGAATGGTTCAGAGCATTGGCTCTGAGTTCAGCCCACCTAGTTCACATTCACTCACCACTTATTAGTGTGTGTTTTGGATAAGTCATTTAATGCCTGTGTATCAGCCTCTTCATCTGCAAATGATCTTTGTAAAGTCATTGTGATGACTGCATTTGATAAGCTTGCTCAAGTACTAAGAAAGTACTTTCTATCTAGTAAGTGCTCATTCTAATTATTATCAATTTATGGTGGCAGCTTAAATACATTCCATTTTCCCGGTGGAAAAGACTACTTCCAGGGTGATAAAATGATGAGGCTATGGCTTGGAGTGCATTGGGATCTAGAGATCACCTCAGCTTCCCATGTAACAGGAAGTCCTCCTCATTATTATGCTGTAGCTGAGGCACCAAATGAGATCCTTTGTGGGAAAGGTCAGTGGCATCCTGGCTGCAGTGATTGCTGCTGCCTCCTATTATCTCAGAGATGATTTCTTTGCAGCTCACTTTTACTCCCCATCTTCATGTTGGATTACCTCCCTGGCTGCTATCTGAGACACCTGCCCACCTACCCCAAAAAGGACTGAAAAATATTTCTATGCACAAATTTCCCTAATTAGCCACCATCTTAGGGAGCATTTTATTATATATAAAGTGGGCTGGTGATATTTCTGTGAATGTACACAGAGTATTCAGCCTATGGGGCCCTCTCAGGCTCAGTTATTTCCTCCCACCCCACATCCCCCAGCCCAAAGTGTTTTTTCCATTTTATTCACCAAATGTAGCTGTTTGACTCCATCTGCTGGGCCGTGACAGTCTTCCTCTCTTTTTTCAGTATGTCCTTGCTCAATCACAGCTGTGACCCCAACTGCTCCATTGTGTTCAGCGGGCCTCACCTCCTGCTGCGTGCTGTCCGAGACATCGAGGTGGGAGAAGAGGTAAGGAAACTTGGGTTTGCACCTGCCTGGCCTCCTTCCCCACCAAAGATTCAGTGTGGCCATTCCTACAGCCAGTTGTGCTTACGGGACAGCTTTTCATTATCCTTCCTTCTGCCAGTGAGAAGATACACGATATAGTCACCTCTGTCCAGCAAACAGTCACATCCCAGTCTATGGATGTGTTAACTTTTTATTTTGTCACCATATTTCTGGATGGTGATAGTTCTAGTGTGTGATTTCTATTTATGTGAGTGGTGGTTATGTGTGTGACAGAGAATTGTGAGATATATATATATATGTGCACAACAGTTGTTAAATCTCAATGGCAATAGCTCAGTGGCCCGAAACATCCCTGAATCCCTGAAAATGGTCATTCTTCCATGACAGGGAGGGCAGCCCACTTGTGAATAGATTCCAAAGAGTTTACTCACTCCAAAGGGCACTAATCAGATTTTGAAGGTGATTATGAATTTTTTATATCTGTGTTTAAAAAGCAAACAGGTTTTATTCTTTCAGGCTGTCATTGGACCTTTACAAATCCATCCTCATTTCTGGGTGATCACTTAAGCAAATGTACAGAAAATAAATAGAGGCCTGGGAGCATGACCTCTGGGAGTGAATTGGCCTTGACTCTCAGTTTGTAGACAGCCAAACCCTCCTGTTTTGGCGAGGAATCTTCAGAGCAGCTTGAGACCTCACAAGGCAGGCACACCTGGGCCATTCGAGGACTGTTGAACTCAAGTCTGCATGGAGTTTGCTCCATTACCCTCTGCTGAGTTCTGGATTACAGATATTTATGCTTTCTAGAACCCACTTTCCTTCTACCATCCAATTTGCTAAAGTGGATATTTATTGCAAGGAAAACAGAGGATCATAAGCTTTTATTGCATTTATGCAGCACTCAGCCAATAAAATCTGAACTCAGAGGTATCATATTTTATGAAGACGGGAATTTGGCTTTGACAAGCTTCCCTCCAAACAGATTGCCAACTGAATAAGTCACCACTTACACAGCAACTTTGCTGAATTTCTCGTTTTTAGGACTGGTGTACCAAGTGTACATATCTATCAATGATATGAAGAATTTAGATTTATTTTTTCTGGGGGCATATATGATTGCAAAGCAGGTGAGAAAGGGAACTATTACATATTTTCAGCAGTATTAGTTTAGAGGCCAAAGAGTGGCTGTTATTGTTGTTGTTGATGATGATGTTTTAGTAAATTTACAAAACCAGAACAAGGGCTAAGGATGTAGCTCAGTGATAGAGTGCTTACCTAGCATGCAGAAAACCCTGGTTTCCATCCATACCACTGCGAAAGAAAAAGAAACTTGACGAGCAAACAGAAAAGCTTTTAAAAATGCTTGGAACTTTCAGAAACAAGGGAAAAGTTTTCTCATATCTTATTTTTAAGGCTTGGTCACCACTTACTCTGCTTGGTTGGTTTTTATGTAGTTGAAAAAAATACCCATCTTTTTGTGCTTATTTCACTTTTTTCACTTTCTTTTTCTATCTCTGGAGCAATAAGCAAATCCATCTTCTTGCATAAAGCAGAACATTTCTGCTCAGCATCAAACCCTGCAGACTCAGGCATTTTTTCGATGGTTCTTATCAAGGCGTCTTCTCAACAAAAAGAGGATTTTCTCTATAAGTCCTTCTTTATCAGTTTGTTAAAACAGAACCTTATCCATTCTGTATTATGTGCCTTGGTAGATGATATTTCCTCTGCTTAAGACTTGTCCTCTCTGCCCACCATTTCTACTGCCTTAATGTCATATGCCGTTCAAGGCCCTTTCAAACACCATTTCTTCCATAAAGCTTTGCCGGGTTTCCCATGTTAAGGGAAGACCTTTCCTCTAGAATCCCCCTTTTGATGGTTATTAGCATATATTGGCACTCACTCTGACTTATTCAGCTGTCATCTTCATGGGACAGAGACTTGGGTCTTGCTTACTTCTGAACATCCTAGCACTTTGCCTTATACCCAAGAGGCACTGATCCCTCTTTGCTGAATTGACTGTCTATTAATTGAGCATACTTTGAAGACCAGTAGTGTTTCTCAGTGGGGCACAATTGGCATTCTGAGTGGAACAGTTCTTCATTGTGTGCCACTGTTGAGCACTGAGGAAGAATTGTGTCTCCGGACCCTGCTCAGTTAATGTCTGTAACTGCCAACAACAACTAAAATATATCCTGTACATTTAAAACTGACACACTGGGGCCAAGATAAGGAGAGGGAAAATCATGAGCAAAGACATTGTGAGGCATTTGTTAAGAGGACTAATTCCCATTTATTATGCAGATATTAGATGGAGCAAATTTAGACAATTTGGTAATTCCACTGCATCATCTTTTCATTTTGGCTTTTCTGTTCATTAGGACACCTCCACTTTTAACATGGGCTGCTTGGGATATAAGCACCAGAATGTAAGCTCCACTAGGGAAGCCTAGACAGTGAGAGAAACAGGAGATCCTTGATTTATATTTGTTGAGTAAATGAAGAGGCTTGCCAAAGGTAAAACAAGAGATAGAAAGGAATATTACAGCTGTTTTGAACTTATGTGTGTTCTTATGTGCAGTACTTACATATGTTCTATTCCCTGGCACTCAGAAAGGAACATTAAAGCCCGCTCATGGGGACATTTCAGTCCTCACACAGGGAGAGCTGGGAAATTGCTGAAGTTTCCACAGTAGCAGAAATTGCTTTACCTTTTGTTTCTTTTCACATAAAACCATACTCTGGACCACATTTGGAACATTTTCCTTCAATTCAGCACTATTTACAAGGTATTGCAATTTAAGAATTTTTATTGTTATGGTGAATTATTGAGTCTTTTGTGTTAGTTTGGGGGTTTTTGTCTTTTCTTCCTGCCACCTCTTGGAGAGAAGTTTGTAATATCTCATACATTGCTGTGCCCATGTGTCATGGCTCTCACGCGGATTGCTGATTGCTGTCCCTGCAGAACTGTGCTAAGCTATGAAATACATTTGTTAGCCTGATAGTCTTGTAAAGCATGGATCAGAGAAGAAAGCTGGACAGTCTAGGCCATCCTCATGGGTTTCATAGTTAAAAGAACTTGAGGCTGTTATAACTAATGCCATTGGCTGTCAGCCTTCTCTGGAGCCACATGGCTTGGGAGAGGTGATTTGCATGAATTGAACATATCAATATACCTAATGTTAGTTTTAATCTAATGTATTTTGGAATGAGGTCTGTTCCTTCCTTTAGTTCTTATTAAATCATTTAACAAAAGTCACTGAGTACTTACTGGGTAACAGGAGTGGGGTGATAGTTTCAGAAACTTTGAGGAATATGAAGATGAATAGGACCCAAACTTGCCTGGAGAAATTCAAGGTATAGTTGAGAAAAGTGACACAGAGCAAAAGGCAGTAATAGAATATGGGAGGCACAATGATGTAAATGTGCACGGGGCTTTATAGACAGTTAGAGCAGAGTATCAAAAGGGCAGGGAGGGGTGGGAGTGGGGGAGCAGTGAAGGAATGTTTCCAGAGAAGTGACTCTTAGGTCTGAAAGGATCCATAGAGTTAAAGCCACGGAGGCAGGGGAAGGTGGTTTAGACTGTGACACAGAGGTCAGGGACAGATTGATGGGTTCAGGTAGTAAGAAGCTATTCATATCAATAGACCAGAGTTCAGCTGTGACAGCTGTGAGGAAATATGTAGGGACCAGAGTGAGGGACGGGGTTCATATGAAGATTCCTTGGCAGTGCCTGGTATGTCAGGAGTGCGAAGGAAATATCCATGGAAAGGAGAGGGACAGATAATGAGACATTGTTAGAAAATGTAGGGAAAGGAACTGCATGGCCAGTTATCTGTGCTTAGATAAGGCTGAAAGACTGGGAGTCAGAGTGACAAAGTAATCCAGCCAAGAGGTGACAACAGTAGCATAAAGTCAAGAGGAGGTCAGGTGGTGGCTTGGGATGGGGGAATCTGAAGAATGTGATAAAAAGAAGCTAAATCTATCAAGATTTGTGAGACAAAGAGAAGAGATGAAAGTGACACTCAGGTTTGACTTCAAAAATTTAGAGCCTTTTTTCAGTTGAGAGCAAAAAAAATTAAAAATATGGCAGTGTAACTCCAGAAATAAAAATAGGGTCTAATTTTAATTTGGCCTTATTATCCATTCAGTTATAGATGGGAAAGATGGTTTCATGAAAAAGGAATTCATTTTGCCTTGAGATTGTAGTGTAAGCAGCATATTCAAGATACAGAAAATCTCTTTGATAATATTACTCTAGTGTTGGAGATGATTTACTGCATTCTCTATAAAAGCTGCACTAAAATGAAAGAGCAGTGGTCAGTGACATTAATATTTTAATGCAGTTTTGTTTTATGCCATTAAAGCATCAGCTGATCAATAGCCAAGTTTTACATGAATGTTCCCATTAAATGAGCCTTATGTTTAGTGAGCAGATACACCATTAAAACTGGGAATTAATGAGTCTTTAATAAAGGTTTTTTACCTTCAGCTGACAAAATGACTTAGCTATCATTACCTGTTGGTAATCTGGGTATGTGTTTTATAGAATCTTTTTTCCTAGACTTTGAAACAGTGTATTTTGAAAACTTCAGTGGCACGAAGGAGCATAAAGGGGGAAAAAAATGGGCCATTGACTCTGAGGGAATAGGGCAGTCCTCATTGGAAGATGCATATTTAAGCCAGTCTTGAAGGATGAGAAAGCTCTTACTCAGCTGAAGCAGCTGTTCACAGAAACATGTTGGCACAGGTGTGTGTTGTTGCAGAGGAATGGCAATGCAACATAATCGTTGACAGGCTGTAGGGTTCAGGGAAAGATGTTGAGACTGGAAGCAGACCTAAAATCAGTAGGGGAAAACCGTGTGTGCCTTTATCCCATAGACAGTGAGAAGCCATCAGAAGTTTTCATGTAGAGAAATGACATGATCAGATGGGAATTTAGGGATGATCTCTCTGAAAGCAGTTTAGAAGATGAAAGTAGGCAGACGGCAGCAGGGAGGCCAGTTAGAAAACCATTGCATAGTCCAGGTAATGGTTGCCGGCAGTTATCGGATTCCAAGGGAAGCTATATGAGCCTGTTTATTGGGGTTAAATGAAATAACTAGTCTCCTGCTGCCCATTCACTGCCTGGCATGATCACTCTTGTATTTTGGCCCTCGTAATGCAGCCTTGGGTTAGTCAAACACCCCAGAGTCAGGGGTTTCACACTGTGTACCTTGTAACCCCCCCAATAACTATTTCCAATTGGCCTGATCTGGTGGCTGGGCCAATGACTAGAAGAGTCAGGGCTGGAATGAGGAGGACATAGAGATCAGCTAATTTATCACTTCACCTCAGATAAGGAAATGGACCCAGAGAGCCTGAGGATTCAAAATGAATATACATAATGCCCCAGACTTACTAAAAGGCTTTTTCAAAAAGTATGCTGAGAATTTGTTATTTGGAATCCAGAATCTGATGTTCTATAGAAACCAGAAGAACTTGCCTAATACGGAAGGCCCTTTGTACTTTAGAGGAAGCCCTGACCTCAGATCATGAAGCAAGGAAAAGGTTGAGGGAATTAAAAAAAAGTGGTATGGCCTTGGCTAAAGGAGCCCAGTTGTCATAAAACCCTTCCTCACACAGGCTTGAGTTCTTCAGGTGTGATCGTTTCTTCTGTAGCAAGCCTCTCCGATTTGGCACCCAAGAAGCATAAGAAGCAGCTTTTCTTGTGTAAAGAGTATCAGGCTTGAATCAAGAGGTCTGGGTACAAACCCCAGCATTACCCAAATCCAAGACCTTTTCTGGTTTTCACTTTCCATGCTGCCTTGGCAGGTGCCCAGCAGGTAGTGGATACTCACAAACATCATCATCTACATTTCTTAAGAGCAGGTCCCTTGTTCCTGTCTATGAAGCAGCATGTAGAGTAGCCTAACACAGGAAGACTCTGTAGAGAGCTGGCCAGCCAGGTGAGGCTGTGGCTTCTGTTACCTGGTGATGGCCATGCAAGGTCTGACAAGTCTGGCTGGCCAGTCTTCCCCCTCCTGTTCAGCTTTAGTGAGGCTTCCTGAAGCTGTTTTCTGTCAAAGAGGATGGCCTTCTGTGTCCTACCATGATTTGAAACAAGTAAGATCATGTTTTGTAGACATGAGATGCTTTCTTTTAAGTAAAAGGAAAACCACATGGCGTGTTTGCTCTAGGGAATTTTTGTCATCTCTTTAGTAGATAATCCTACCTTCTTCCTCTCCTACAATATCCTTTTCTTCCGCCACCACAAATATCCCCATAATTACTTTCTGTATTTAAAAGCAAATAAAGGAGTATTTTATACAGTGTAGTACAAGATGATTTATGTTCCACACACTTGCGCGCGCACACATACACACAAAATAAAAACCAGAATGGTGAGGGAATTAGGAGTCCTGGGGTGGGGTGGAAATCAGGTTGTTATTGTAAACAGGGTATTCGGGTTAGGCCTCATCTAGAAAGTAAGATTTGATGGAACAGAAAGAAGATGAAAGAGGTTGCCCTGATGATACAGGCGAAGATAAAGGAAACATCCAGTTCACAGGCCTTGAGGCAAAAGTGAGTGCACACGGAGTTGCACTGAGGGTCACTGTAAGGAGTCGGCCCTTACTCGGGCACAAGGAGCTCTGTTGCCGAATTTCAGACAGAAGGAAGCCCTGGTCTAACTCATGTTCTGTTGATGAACCACTCAGCTAGAGGATGGAGTGCAGAGAACCTAGGGAAAGAAGCAGGGATGTCAGCCACGACGCTGTTGCACTTTACAGGCGAGAGATGGTGGCTCAGGGCAGGATGGTAACATTGGAAAAGGTAAAAAGTAGTTGGTTGTAGATATATTTTTAAGGTCGATCCCACAGATTTTCCTGGTGGATTTGGATAGAAGTATAGAGAAAAGAGCAAAGTCAAGGATAATTCTGCGGTTTCAGCTTATATAATGCAGAGAGGAATTGCTGTCTTCTGAGACTGGAAAGGGACTAAGATAGAACAGGTGGGGTGAAATCAAGAGTTCTCTTTTACATATTTTTAATTTGATTGCGAGTGCACTGGAGGATGATTCAAAAGAATTCAAACATAAAGACCTATGACTAAAAGTAGATGCTAAGGGCTAGAGAGAAACTCGAGCAGCTTTTTAAGTGTATCCTCTCACCTTGACCTTTCACCTCCAAGGCAGAGCTTAGTTACTGTATTTGAAAGGACCTAAGCAAATCAGCTTATGAACCAATATTGATGATTGTCCTCTACTATTAAACTCTCTCCTTTGGAAATTATTCTACATTTTATACCTAGTTACAATTAAGAAAACTATTTCCTAGTTTCAAGGTTTGGATAACCCTAAATTCTTGGAGACAGCCATAGAATTGATTAGGATTTAAGAGCAATCTAGCTGTGTCATCTGCCATCCATTTGATTGCCAGGATGAATTTGGCTTCTCTGATTGCCAGTGAGTAAAGCATTTATGGCTAAACCTTAGTAATATGGAACATACAATAGCTGGTGATATTTTACTGTTTAATGAAAATTTTAAAAAGATAGAGTGCAAAAGTATATGGTGGTCATAAGCTCAGTTCTTTAAAATATATGATACATGTTCTTGCATTTAACAAAGACTGGAAGGAAATGTGTTGAAATTTGACATGTTGGGATAAGATCCTACAAGTGCTACCTTCTCTCTTAAACTTGTTGATTTGTAATCAAAACAAACTCTAATCTTCAGCAGTAATAACCATTAGTAATGAAAAATGTACCTGACAGCTATAATAACTCTTACCTCTCTTGGGTCTTCACAGCTTACTATCTGCTACCTGGATATGCTGATGACCAGTGAGGAACGCCGGAAGCAGCTGAGGGACCAGTACTGCTTTGACTGTGACTGTTTCCGGTGCCAAACTCAGGACAAGGTATGATAAATAGAACCATCTCCAGACAGCATCTCAGATCTTTCTGAGACTTTGTTTTTATTTCACTGATTGAAGAGTAAAGCATCCTCAGTCGGTGATAGGAAACAAGGATAAGTAAAACAGATCTCTGAGCTGAATACATTTTATTTCTTGGAACTTCTTATCAACCACCAAGCTGAGATTTAAGCACAATAAACAACTATTGAGCTTAAGTGCAGAAGAAGTAAGACATTAAATATGTGACATTAAACATGTGATTAAAAGGACATGAAAGGCCAGAATGCTATTAGAGCATATAGTAAGAGGGTTCAGTTATATTATTATTGATAACAATTATTGCTTAGTAATAAATATACCAAATTTTATGTGGTTTGTTTCTTTAAAATTTGTTCTATAAAGGCTTTCTATCATAGCATTTTATCAGATGGAGATCACATATCTAGCAACTTCCACTCTCTGAGGAAAGAAGAGCCAAAATAAATCAAACTAAATGCCATAAGTGAATGAACTATTTTAATATTATTCATATAGTTTCCATATTTTGAAATTTATTTACTTATAGTTTGCACATAATCAGGTTATCTGATAAAATCTTACTTTTGCAGAATGTTTACATTTAGAGGTTTCTCTTGTAATCATATCTCATTTAATGCCAATACTTGTAAAAAGTTAGGAAACAATTCAGAAATGTTCAGAGACATAGAATGAGGGAAAAAGTGGCAGAACTAAGTCTCACACTCACCCTTGATTAGCCTGAGTGCTTCTTTCGCAGTACCACAGCCACTTCTGTCTCCTGCTGCCAGCATCAGTGGAGACAGATAATTGCTCTCACTGCATGAGAAAGGAGCATGAGCTCATTCTAATACTGCAGAAGTACGCAAACATAATTAGTTCTGCATTAAAGAGAACTTCTAGAGACAAGTGAGAAAAAGTGGATCCATTGCTGATATCTTGAATCTCCAATGTTCAGTCCATTTTAGTGTTAGCATTTTGTCACTAGTAAGGATGTCAGAAACCACAGAGGACCCCCTGGGATCCCTCCTGCCCCACCCCCAGACTGTAACCTGTAATGGCACCAAGCTAGCTTCCCACCAGCATCCCTGGTCGGGAATGGGAAGGCTCTCAAATTTAGTTTCTCTCAGTGCCACAAGTCTGGCAAAGCTTCAAAAAAAAGATTTTTTTTAATCTTTGGTTTTCAGTGGTTTGATTATATGTGTGGATCTGACTTCTTTTTTTTAAATTAATTTTATTGGTACATTTTAGGTATACAGTATAATGACATTCATCATTGGAAATTTGCACCTTTACATAATCTCTCTTGGTTCTTATTTTTTCCACATTTCCATTTTTTCATTTTCTCATATTAATTCTATTCCCTTCCTTTTGAATGAATATGTTTGATTAAAATTCAGAGGTTCACTTTTGTTACAATGGTTGAAATCTGGACTCTAAATAAGCAGTAACTCACCCAAAACTGGCTTTACCGGTGGAGTACATTTGTCTTAAAAATTCTGGAAAAGTAATCCAAGATGAGGGCAGCTACATATAGCTTTCTTCGTACACCCCAAATCATTTTGTCTTCCTCTTCATCCTTCTTAGCATGTGGCTTTGTTCTCGTCCTGAGATGATTGCCTCTCCTCCCCCATGAGTGTGTTCAAGATCTAGACAGGGAAAGGGTGACAGTAAAAGAAAGGCAAAGACCAAGAGAAGTCCTCCTAGGGATTGTCCATCACATTTTATTGTTCCAACTGTGTCACTCTTCACTGTAAAAGAGTCTGGGAAACTGTGTTTTGGCTTTTCAGATTTGGTACAAGAGGAAGACAAGGAAGGAGAGGTATGTGAGTAGCTTTTAGGTAACAAGTCCACAATGTCTACATCCCATCAAGACCATTCTCATTGCTTTCTCTCACTCTGTTGGGTTAAAGTTTGTTTAATAATGTGTTAGTTAGGGTTCTACACACAGTTAGGTGTTGTTTTTCAGTGGGGATACTGTATGAGAAATGAATCATTAGACAGTTTTGTCATTATGTAAACACAGTGTTACCCAACATACTGTTTTACAGTAAACTTATTTTTATAAGTAGGACTATATTCTGAAATAACAATAAAATATAGTATACTACATATATTAACCAGTAACCTAGTCATTTATTATCATTATCAGGTATTAAGCACTATACATAATTATATATGCTATACCTTTATACAACTCGCAGTGCAGCAGGCTTGTTTCCACCAGCATCACCACAAACGTGTGAGTAATGTGCTGTAATATCACAGTGATTATGACATCGCTAGGCAATAGGACTTTTTTATTTCCATCCTAATCTTATGGGACCATTTTGTTATATGCAGTCTGTCATTGACCAAAATGCCATTGTGCAACTCATGAGTCTGGGGAGCAGGTAGACAAAGAAAGAGAAAGAGACTGATTATAAGGAATTGACTTATGTAATTATGAAGGTTGTGAAGTCCCAAATCTGCAATGTCAAGCTAGAGACCCAGGAGAGCCAGTGGTATACGTTTGAGTCCAAAAGCTAGCAGGTCAGGACCCAAGAAGAGCTGCTATTTCAGTCTGTGCAGAAAGGCAAAATATGACCAGTGTCTCAGCCCCAGCAAGAAGCCAGGAGTTCCCTCTTACATGAGGGACAGGCAGCCTTTGTTGTCTTTTCAGGTCTTCAGCTGATTGGGCAAGAAACGCTCATATGAGGGAGATTCGTATGCACCTCGCCAGTGGTGGCAAGGCTAGTGCAGACCTGGTTACTAAGGCAGTGGGCTTCTTGGTTCCCTATCTTCTAGCCTCTTCAAGCCCACAGCTTTCTATCAGTATTCAGCCCAGCAAACAGATCATCAGCAGTTTCTCAGCTTCTTTTTACAAGTAAATTAGTCTCCCTTTAAACATTGGGTTTGACTCTTTACATTTCTTATGTGAAACATTTTTTACTCTCTGTTAAACTCTGGCACTGAACTTGTGCCCCCTACTGCCTGCTTCCAGACCTGAGGTCCAGTAGCTTCAGCTTTGCTTATTGCTTTGTATTTCTTTTCTCTTTTTGGTCCAAGATGATGCATATTTCTGAATTGGAAAATCTATTTTTGGCTTCTCTTTTAACATTTTACCTGTCATTGCTATAGGTTTGGTGTAGGTGGGAGAACTTCCAGGGCCAAACTTACATTTTGATTGCAAATCTGCAATTGACCATTCAAGTACATATTAAGAATCCATGTCTTTGGAGGCAAAGGAAAATGTGAGGATAAACAAAGACCTAACTTTTCTGAAGGCTTCCAAGCTTGGGTGCACCTTTCACCCAGCACCAGCCTCTCTGTGGTGCTGGGGAGCTGTATCTTTTTTGATCCTAGGGCCTTCTGTGGAGACAGTTGAGTAGAGTCATTCTGAAAATACACACATCCTGGAAGTAGCTTAAGTTTTGGGGGGCAGGAGGGGGGATAAAAGCTTCTCATTCCCTGAGGCTATACAATTCTAGGTCCACTTTTATTTTCTTCTGTACAAACAAAGCAATGTTAATTATCATGTTTGGGAATTATTTTAGCTTCTTTTTAGAAATCCTGTTACAGTTGATCTTAGTCAAAAGGCTGAGAAGCGATTAGAAATCCCGTTTTGTGACATGGAATTACTTTTTGTTGGTACCTTCTTGAAAACCTGCACAACACTGCTGAATTTCAGAGCCAGCGCTCTACAAAGAAATGGTCTGGGCTGGTGTGATGCAGATTGGCCTCCATTCTTCCATGGGAGGCTGTAACTGTGTCACTGGGAATCTGGGGAAGGAAGCAGGGAGAGCAGAAGGAGGAAACAATGCTGGTCTGAAGGAGAAAAAAAACAATATTAGAGTTAAAGCTCTATTCAAAGAAAATGAGTTTTCTGCCCCTAGAAAGTTCTTATGGTAACTAGAGTCTATTTGAAATATGAACAATTACTTAAAGTTCATTAGTAAACCCAGATTTTTCTTTTTTGCTGCCTTCCCCTATTTTGCTAAATTAATTGTAAACAAGACTGCTTTGTGGTGGGATGATGAGCCCAACCAACTCTGAAGTGGTTTATATTTCAAATATTAACAATCTAAGGAAAATATGTTTCCTGTTTCTAAAATTTTTATCATAACTAAAGTATGTTATCAAGAAGAGTAGTATCAAGATTTAGCAGGGACATAAAGAATATGTGTGTGTGTGCAGTGAGCCATCAAAACCTAACATTATTGTGTGTTACCTATGTCTTTCTTGACTAAATAGCCAGAAGAATGAGTTTCCTGGAGTGAATGTAGGGCTGGCTAGGATTCATGCTATAAAAGGAGGAAAGGAGTTTACTGACTTCATAACCACATAATCCCGTCTGCAATGTTGCCATGAAATACTGGGAGAGGTTTCTGGGTACCATACAAAGAGCTGTAATGTTGGCTGGGAGATAAACAATGTAGCTCTTGTGTTTGCCTTGGAATGGGCTGTTCACCACATCACAGGACAAGGCGCTGCAACTTGCCGTCTTCCAAGGACAGGCAGCTGCCAGGAACAAGAGCCACCCTCAGGGGTAAGAAGGGGTCTCTCTACAATTTGTGGTGGCATGAATACCATTTTACAACCTTCCCAATTCTTGCACAGACATTCTTTTCTCCTGGTTTTTGTTCTACAGGAAGCTGTGACTCAGGGGACAGATTCATTGGCTGCAGCTGATGTGGCACAGAGAGCATGTGTTCTGAGGAACCAAGCACTGTTCCCAGCCCAACACACTGCCCACAGTAGTGCTCAGGAAGTGTTGTAAAGGTGGCTCCTTTTAGAGAATATTTCAGATTACAATACCTGCAGAGTTTTGGTGCCAATTAGTATTTTCTAGGTATTCTGCTGAGTTCCTCACAGGCCTCATCTCATGTAACTTCCACAACCTTCTCAAGGCTACGGCTACTCCTACTCCCTTCGTGCAGATGAGGTATCTGAGGCTTTCAGCATAGCCTTAACAGAATTACCTTCCCTGTCTTCCTTTTTAACAAAAT